AGATGTCAAGTTAATCCATCAAGAGAGAAATTGTGAACCTCATTGTTCATTCGTCTAGTGGGCACCGGGCAATGCATGTCAGAACTATACATTTTCATACAATGTTGATTAACAAACATCAGTTAACATACCTTCTAACAGATGTTTTAGCTAGACAACCTGACAACCATCAAAAAGCAGCAATTTCTCTGAATCTTGGAGAGCATCATCCTAGAAAATGATCAAACTAATCAATAGAAGAATGTCTCAAGTACTCCAATCCAACAAGTGTATGTCCGAAAACTTAGGGCAACAACATCAGATCAGATGGCCATACTGCCAAACATAACCCTCAAACTTGTATGGAAATATGTGATTCCGTCCACTTTCTTTTTTGAATGAATTCCTTATACTTCTGTTTTGGTGTCACTGGGCCCAATTATTATGAATTAAAACTGTAACATCAGTTAAATTACTTGTTGGTGCTTAGGTGTACAAAAATTTTAAGAACTTAAAAAAAATAAATAAATAAACCAATTAGAACTTGGAAGCCTTAAGAGAAACCAATAACAATAGAATAAAAGCAAACGTTGAAAATTGTTGTGTTAGGTAAAGGGAAACACTATTTTTCAAAGTTCTGAAAAGAAATACATTGAAAACTAAGGGTTTTTATCCAAAGTTAGAATCAATGGAACCAGAATAAATTTTAAGGCTTCACTGAACTATATAAAATTTCAGGGGCCAAAACTCAAATTCACATCTTTGACAAGTTTGAGGGCACCATCTCTATCATTTATATACCACCAAATAAGAACAAATAGTTCAGAATTGCAGATAATGCTAATTATCCAAAGAATAATGGCTAATCAAGAAAAATCAAAATATGCAAGATGAGAGCAGTTATTAAAAACAATGTATTTCCAATATTAGGGAAGCAGTCAAGCTGATCATTTTTACTTTTCATTTTAATACTATAAAACTGGAAACTCACCCTCTCAAGGTACATGATTGTCTGGAATGCTCTCCATTTTGGTAGCAATGCAGCATCAAAAACAGATAAAAAGAGCAAATTCTTTGAATATTTCAAGAAAAGAATCTCATTTGACAATGCTAATGCACAGAATACAGTAGTGTAACATGCGTGCATCATACCTTATACTTGTTCGAGATATCAGACACTGAAAGGGCTATTTCAAACTCAGCTTTCTCATTAGGTGTTGAAAACTAAGAGTAAACACAAAAAATTAAAAGCAATAAGATTTCCATCTTAGGAAAACAGATACTGGAAACTCAAAGAAATATCCTTTACACATGAAAAATGACTTTGATGAGTAATATTGGAAAAGAGGAGAGGATTAAAAAGAGAAAACAAAAATTCCCCCTAAAAAAGAATCAAGGAGAAAAGGATAACCATCTGCACACCTTTATTTTCTTTGGATTTCTTTCCTCTTCATTGTCTTGGACTGCCCTCTGAACAAGATTAACATGATGATGCAAAATATCAGACGTAGTTTGTTTTAAACTGATACAAATAAAATCACAGAGATGGGGATTAAAAAGTTCACCTTGAAGAGGAGAAGGAGAAAAAACAAAAAAGAGCAGATACATAATGATCCAATTTAAGCTCATTCTCCCTTGCAGGAATTAGTCTAGTCCAAATGTGGATTTAATTATTTGAGGAAAGACCCTATAACTTGTAGTTTCCTCACTGTCAGCAACCTAAACAAAAAGAAATCCTTCTGATAGTAGCTGCTACTGATTTTCATTTTCCATTAGCAGCACACTAGCTTGTTGTACCCTGCTTCACGGGGTGTTTGTGTATATTTAAGAAAGTCCAATCTACTGGGACTATGTTCCTTAGAAATGAAGCTTTTAATAGTTTGATGTACCAAAAAAAGGGAAAAAGAAAGCCCGATCTACCTTGCCTTGGGTCACACACTTTAGAGCTTAAAATTTATCTCCATTTTTCCTCACCCGTCAAAAGCCAAAGTCGATGCAATTAACCATTTCCAAGTTTCTTTTTCAGCTCAACACTTTTCCTGCATCGTCAACCAAGCCAATTTGTTTCCTTTAATTAAAAATAAAATAGAGGTAAGAAATAGGGAAAAAAAAAACAGTCTTAGGAAAATAAGCAAAATTATATAAAAAAAGGGAACTCAACAAATCACCAATGCACTACTAAAGAGCTAAAGCAAAGTTTCTCACCACATGCACATTCTCAATTTAATAAATTCTGAAGAAAAGAGGAAATAAGTGCAAACAATAAATTCAATTCTACCAATTTTGGTGTCAAGTACACAGTACTTAACTACTATATATAATGTCAAACCTTACCATTCTACAGAAGTTGATCTTTTGATTCCACAAAGTTGAATTTGTCATATAAACTCAATAGTCGTGATTCTTTTAGTACGCAAAATAAAGGATTTTGGAATTAGGTTTCACCTAATTCTAAAGCCCCCTTTGTCTAAGGAAATTGAAGAATTTCCATCATGGATTAGAATCTCACAAACACAAAGTATGAAAAATAAAAGTCAGAGAGAAATAGAAGAAATCAAAAATAGGAAAACTAACAAATACAAAGTACACAAAGTATCCAAGATAAGCCCCATTTAGTATGCAAAATAAAGGATTTTGGAATTAGGTTTCACTTAAAAAAGAAAAGGCATAACTAACAAACACAAAGTAAAATAAACAATTAAAACAGAAATAGAAGAAAAATCAACTGGTAAATGACTGATATTAAGGTTAGATATGCTAACTAATTCATGATAGAAACTCCAAAATTCCACTGAAAATGATGTCTGAATAATGAAATGATAAAGAATCAAGATTATTAAATGAATTTGTCCATTGAAACCTAAGTCATCCCATTGCCAGTAAAAAGACAGATAATCAAAGTCATGGGGCATAAGGCCTTAATTTTCTTTTGGAAATTTTTACCATGTTGGCCTCCTACAATCAGTGATAGTTTTCATTGTACTTCAACTCTTCTATCATCACAAAATTTCTAAGAGTACCTTTCTAATCAAAGTAAGTCGAATGATGATCTTCACGTCACACATACCCCGAACATTATTAACTGAAAAAAAAAAAAGAGAAAAAAAAAGGATGATCTTCACAGAAGTCTACAGCATCAAGTACAAAACCTTAAACCTAAAGCCTAACTAAGATGAAAGGAATCAGACAATCAGATAAATAAAACAATAATCCAGGATGATCTAATCTTCTTACTTTAATAGGATTCACTAACCAGCTAGCTTCCATGCCTTTACTTCAACCCTCAAGAAGAGGAAAGCCCCTTTCATGAACTCCATTCACAAAATGTGATCACACCAATCACAAACTACATCAGTTAAACACATTTGCAAACTTTATGCATGGAAGCAAAAATGGTTCTCTTAAGAGAAATAAGCATGAGTATGCCAGCTAAACTGAGCTTGAAATAAAGTTTCAGACACTCCTGTCAATTTGTTACAAAGAAAAACGGGACTTGCACAAAGCAAGTTCAGCCAAGTCAACTTTAACTTGTGGAGAGCAAGATGTGTCTTTTTTCTCTTAGGATTACAATTAATTCAAACATAAAAGAATACCAGTTAAACTCAACTATAAAAGAACAGCTCATAGCTCATAACTCTTAAGTTATAACATGAAATGAAGGAATAAGAATCTCTCAATCTTTATCTCGCTCAGAGCAATAAAAGCAAAGCAACTCTGATCAAATTAAGGTATATATTTCATCTTCACAATTCTCTTGAGAGGAGATACTACTCTGTGTATTTCACTGATCACCTAAATAGGAAACGATGAGGCCATAAACAATCTATTTGATAGTTTATAGCAAAAATAAAACATACCTTATGTCACATTACTTATGGAACTGCAGATTATAAGAAAATTGGCACTTGTTCAATTAACTACAAATCAATTATTGAACAAATGTTATAACCTATAACATGATATTAAATAAGAGTTATTTTCTTCAATTCATATAGGTGAAGGGTTAAAAGTGTTATAATATAAGGTGAGAAATTAAAATTTACAACTTTATTAAAGTAAAAGGTTAAAAGTAAGTTTTTACCTAAATACAGTGTGACTGTGATGTTGAACATTTTTTTTTCCATCTTAATAAATGTTAAAACCTAAATTTGGAAACTAATAATTGATTTCCAAATTTAGGTGTCAACATTTAATATATAATTGGTTTCTAAACTTAGGTATTAACATTTAATATATAATCAGTTTTCAAATTTAGATATAAAGATTTAATATATAATTGGTTCCCAAATTTATATATCAACATTTAATAGAGTGAGATTTTGGTTTCTAAATGTAAGTTGTAACTCTTTTTTTTTTTTTCAAAGTTGAGATTAATACGCATTAAACTTGTATATATATTAACTGAACTCATTTATTACAAGTCAAATTATAGATCTAAGTTATCAATTTAAATTATGATATAATCTCAACCAAAATTATTAAGATCTAATATAATTAATTTTTAAATTTAAATATCAACATTTAATTAGATCAATTTTTAAATTTTGAATTAAGTTTTAATTAATAAAATGACATAATTTAAGATT